CCGCCCCTACGGCCAGGCACAGCCCCACCTCTCACCTTCACCACCGCTCCCGAAACGCCGCCATCTTACCCCGCGGCACCGTCACCCCACAGGCGCAAGGCAGCGCCTGTCATCGCCGGGCGACGGGCGGGCCCTACCGCGGGGCACCATGGGAGCGGTAGTCTGAGGGCACCGCCCCGCGCAGGAATCAAACCCACGGACGGTGTCTGAGGGGGGAAAGGGTTTAATGCGAGTTCCCCCCGCCGGAACTGTACATCGCGCGTGACAGGCTCCCAGTTAATTCAATCACCGTGCTGGGCACAGGAAATACACAATAAAATAAGTGAAAAACCCCCCCTGCTGAATAAATACATACAACTTTTCGACATCTCGTCAAGGATTGGCCTATCGTGTCCCTTCATTTGGTAACAGACAGCTCTGGATTCAAGATTTATTATTGGTTTACTTTTCAAACTGATTGTCCCTGCCTGGATTTTTCTCCCTTGGGCACACGTGAGCATGTAGCCTTGAAACAGACCTAAAAAGCACGTGGAAAGCAGCGGAAAAAGGTCTGTCACCTTCCTCAGGTCCAGTTCAAACTGTATAAAGTTCCCTGCCAGAATTTACACATCTCAAGCCCTCCTGCCTGCACTGATGTGACCCATCCTAGATGAAGGGGCTCTACACCTGTCAATTAGACAGTAGAAGCTGGAGACAGAGAACTAAGAAGAAGATTTTTTTCCTTAGGACAATCATGATGTGAATTTACTACTTGTGAAATGTTAACAGTCTGGCAGACCCAGAGCATAACGGTGCCTGATAAGCAGAGTGGGTATCTCACAGGCAACAGCAGAAAAGGTTTCTCTCTCTCCCCCCTCTAACCATGGCTCTACTCTAGACAGATTTTTACACCTACCAGTTCACCACAGTCTCTCAGTACTTTCCAACCACTCATTTCTATCAGCCTCAGCCCCACTGGAGAAGTGTCTGCAGTGGAGTGCTTTGGTTTAGAATCTCAAATAATAGAAACACGGAATAATGACTTCCTGTAAGTACCAGAGAACAGCTCTGTGATGGCCCATTCAAATTAGATGCAAAGAAAATTATTAAAACAATCTCTGAGCACTGGAATGAGGGCACCAAAGACCACTGGGGCCTCTGTGTTGTTATCCAGAGATTGGTTAGACCTTTTGGCAATCTTAACATGGGATAGAACAGAGACGATTCAGCAGTGAAGCCCCCCTGACTGGTCTAGTTGTTCTCAGCCTTCCCTTTCTTAGATTTTATCTGTGCAAGATACTCTGAATTTCTCTGGGTATGCATGCTCCTTTTAGCTGCAGTAATAGAAGACAGGGAGGCTACCTTCTCTCTCTTCAGTCTATTCCCAGAGGTAAAGTATCACTAGTGGATCTTCCTTTAGCTAACTGGAAGCACCACAGAGGTGCACCACTGCTGCTGCTCTGAACTTTTGCTTCCAAGGACTGCAAAGAGGTAAGGAGAATCAGATGATCTTCAGGCTCTTATTACTGAGTTTCATCTGGTATGACATTTAACTGTTATGACTCCTGGAGTCAGCTCCCTGATTGGAACAGTATTTGGAATAGTATCCAGGAATTATTGTCTAACATCCAGTCCCGTATATGCTGTGGATGGAAATGGGCTTCCAGCTACTTGGAGAGAGAGCTTGTGACTTGCCTCCAAAGAGCTGGATTTCCAGTCCAAAAAAGCATTTTTGTAAAGCCAACCAATCAGTGAAGGTTCAAGTAAATCGCATTTCCAAGAAACAGTGGATGAGGAGCAGAATCAAAAATGAAGGCACAAAATCTCCTTCCAAATTCTACAGCAATATTCCTAGATATTACCTGCAGTGTCAAAAGAGGGAGATCTTCCAGTAGTGGAGTCTTAAAATATCGTTAAAAATCAATATCCAAATAGCTTTGATCAATGCCTTAGAACCTTTCAGCAGCATTCCCTGTTTCCACTCAAAGTCATCAGTGAGCAGGCCCAGGGAAAGGTCCTTCCTGTGAAGCATGGCTCTAGGGGTCAAGAAAAGACACTGCGATATAACGGGTTCCTTTGGTGGTTGGAAGACCTTCATGATAGTGGGTCAAGCGTCCTGGATGCATAAGGGTCCACCCTTTCCGTGGTGCTCGAATGGAGCAATTGTAGCGCAGGAACCGGCAGCCTCCTCCCTGATGAAAACAAAACATGAGACATATCAGCTTGGTAAAAGCATCTCGGGGAAAGGGTCTCTGCCTTCTTCTGGCAGCCCTCCTGAAAATGTGAGGTGCTTGGGGAGCTTCCTGTGTGCTGATGCATTCAAAAATTTTTCTTTCTGACCCCAGCCCAGTCATTAATTGCAATAATTGGCGTGAAGAAGCCAGATATGGATAAGGAAAGAGTTTTCATCTACCTGGACTACTCAAGAGGCTGTTCTGCATCCTTGACACACTGGCAAACACTTACCTCATAGTCTATCCCAACTCGGTTCAAAGCAATGTTAATGGTAAAGGTGGAAGCGTCATGATGGGGCATTAAAGACGGCTGCTCATCAGGTTTGTAGCGAACTACAAAGGCTAGCTCAAACTGAGCCTGCAGGAGAGAAAAACAAAGCACACATCAGTTAACGGAGCTAGAGTAGTCCATGGCTACTGAGCTGCACAGCAGGGTGTAATATTTATACTGCATCCCACTGCTAAAAGAGAAAAGCAACAATAACAAAGGACAATGTCATCAGGCGATTGTGTATTTCCTGATGTGTATCCTTGTGTCATATTCCAGGGTCAGTTCCTCCATACTGGGAAATAGTACTCTCATTGCCAGAGGACTCCAGCAGTCTTTTCACACAGCTGCAAGTGAAGGAGATGCTGAGCTGACTACGAGTTTTGATGCTAAGGTATACATACCTTGGTGTAGTATCCTGGGTACAGTTTCTCTGTGATGGGTGCAATATAATCCAGAAGAAACTTATACCATTCTCTTTCAAAGCCAATTTGGTTCATGTGTATGTCAATAGTTGGGACGTTCTCATATCCTCCTTGTATTCTGCTGTCCTGAAATAGAATCATGAAAATAACCATGAGGATGGGAACCTCGGATTTCAGGAAAGAAAAGCACAAGTAAATACGACATTTATTTATCAAAATTTCCAGGATGGAAAAGTCATTTAAAACAATAATTAAAACTTAAGGTGAACAATACTACCATCAGAAGGGCTGAACTCTGTAGTTTCAGAGGACACTAAACAGGACTCAGAAAAGTTAATTCACATTTAAGAACATGGGCAAAACCACAGAGTTAATCAGGAGCAAAATTACAGTATTTCCTCCAGTTTCCTGGTTTAACTGTGGGATCTAACACCTTCCTACCAGAGGCACTGCTGCCATCAAATACGCATCGATAATGGTGTGACCCTGAAATCAAAAAGCTCCTGCTTTTTCTTACCGTGTTGTCACCTGTGGACCACTGGCCATAATGTTCCATTTCTTCCACCAGCTCATCACAGGCAGTGTCAGTGAATATGGGGAACCAATAAACATCTGGGCAGGGCTGCAGAAAGTACACAGGTGAGAATACCAGAAACAAGGACAGGTGCTTGAGACAAAGGGAATAAGACTTAACTGGCTGTAGACTGAGTCAGTTTAAGTGACAAGTAACTAAAATATTGAGGATAGAAATTAATCTTCTGATTTATGTGCCCCACTTCCACTTAAGAGAGTTGGAGATGTGCTTCTAGAAGAATGATTTGGCCCTAGAAATACTTTCAAGGTCATGTTTCCTCTGGATTTGAAAGACTACTAGGTCGTGCTGAACTGCTTATTCCTGAGAATGACAGTAGTGATGATACAAGCATTGGCCTGATCCTAATCTCCCATTCTGATGGATAAGAATGATGTTTTCTTACCATTTCTACCAATTTCCCTTTCAGAGCTGCTGTGTAGTTTTCATGGATGTACTTTTCTCTCCAGTCCTGCAGTTAAAAGATAAGCAAACCAGTCATTTCTGTGGGCCCTGGTTAAAGAGGCAATGAAAGGCCATGCACTTCTGCAGCACTATTTCACAGGCCTTGTTATGGATCACATAAACATCCTCTCTTTAAATTCTGTGACTACCCCCCTCATCCCACCTGAGAGACATCATTATTACAAAGCCTGGAACTTCCTTATTGGTGAAAGCTAGTAATCAAATCTTCACGTGCCACACTGCTAACCTTGCTGAGCATGCAGGTTATCTCACCTCAGGATTGCTGAATATTTGCCAGAGGTCATTGTGGAGGTGAGTTGTCTTGTAATTCTCCAGGGACAGTATGTGTCCAAACTGATGCCGATTTGTCAGGTACATAAAGACTCCCTGCAGGACAGAGGGAAACAATCAAGCTTTGTTTCCAGGCCTCACATTTCTGTGAGCCACTATGAAATACAAGCACTGGACAATTCCCCAGTGATGATGGCTCTGCCCAAGCTGTTCATTTACTCATTCCTTCTCCTGTGGGCCTTCAGTTTAATTTCCACTCTGGATAGGAGGAACTTTGAAAGGTTATAGCCAGAGCCACTAATTCTGTGCCTTTTATCAGCCAAGGCTGGAACAGCTGCTTTGAGATTAGGTTCTTCCTTCTTACCCTGTCAACCCCATTTAGAACAGCCCTGAATAGGCCCAAGAACAAAAATGTTATCCACATGTAGTGGTCCCTGGCTCTGAGTGGCTCCACAGACAGAAATCCCACACTGTTCCAAGCCTGCACAGTACTGGGTAATGCCAGTTCATCCTATCCCATTCCTCAGCAGAGCTGAATGCCTTGAAACTGCTTTATCTTGTCACCTCCACCCTGGTGCGCAGTTCTTCCCTGCCAGCCTCTCTCTCCTCAACTGACCTGATTCCGGACGTTGTGACAGAAAGCCATGTCAGTATCCAGCTTGCCACTGTGGAAGAGATCTCCCTGGTCAAGCTCCGATCGCAGAGCCTTGGCTTTAACCATGTAAACGCTGCTGATGTAGGGAACATTCCAAAGCCCACTGAAACACAGGGGTAGGAGATTAAGACTTGAAATACCACTATGACAGACACTGGTGGACTCGACGGGATGGCAGGCAGTGCCACAGTATCAGCCAGGCTTGCCTAAATGAGCCAACTCAGAACAGCAGGGAGAAATCATATCATCAGGAATAGTCATGCCAGGAAAAATCACTTCTATTGCCCAAAGCTTTTAAACTGCACAAATGCTGGTCCACTGTGAAAGCAATTAATTGCTACTGTGTGTTTTGCTAGGGACATAATTAATGGTTTGAATCTCTTCCCAGAGAGATCAACATTTTTTTTTTCCTGGTGATTTAAAAAAACTGAACCAGCCAAAAGTGCGTAAGCTGATTTCCAGCATTTATCGCACATATAATGGCCTAAAAAAGAAAGAGGGCCCCTCAAGAATATGAGTGAACCAACAATTGTATTTTGTGAATCTTCCATTCAAGGATCACTTGGTATTTTATGAAGACTGCCTGATAAAGATTAAACAGCACTTTACAGGATTTTAAGGATGACACTAACTATAATCCACAGGTGGGAAAACAAGACACAAATGAGATGAAGTGATTTCAGCAGAGTCAGGACTCTCACATCCTTACTCTGATCGTAAGAAAATCTGCCCCCAGTATGCCTCTGCTCAGGGGAGAACATGGAGCAGTTTCCAGATGGGAGTACCGAATTCTTTTCCTTTTCTATACACAAAGACAGTTGTCTGGTTCTTTGACATGAGGTAGTTTGACGATAAAGTGCTGCAGTAAGCTTTACATGAGGGGGACTGTATCAGAAAGAAGCTCTCTTTGCATACTCACACCCTCCGCCTTTGAACAATATCCACATAATCTTCTGAGCGGGCATAGTATCCATCAGGGCTCAGTGCTCCCCAGAAATTTGACCACAACTTCTCATGACGGCTTACCAGTGGGGCAATCACCATCCTGTGAGCAGAAAAGAAAAAAGGAATTGCAAGACAGGATGTTACCACAGGAAGAAAAAGAAAAGATTTACAAACCACAAGACCATAAGAGTTAGATCTCCCTCGCTTGCAGAGCTGCTGATTCTGTTAACTCTGTTGGAATAAAATTCCACACAATAAAGGGCCAATATGGTCACAATTTCCTGTCTAACTGCACCCTGCAGCAGGTCTCAGAATCCGATTTGTTCTAGTGACTATATAAAGACAAAACCAGAGATGATTTACATCTCCTGCCTAAAATCCAGGGACTACAACTATAGTAAAAAAAGACCAAATAAGAGGTGTTTGTCTAACATTCCATCCCTGACACAGTTCTCCTAGTGCCTTACAGATCTCAGTGATAAAAGAGCTCACTGTGTTCCTCATGTGAAAGATAAGCAGTAAGCATTACTTAGACCAAATAACTTACTTGTTCTGTTCAATCAGGATCCTTAGAGTCTCTGTGTTCTTCAGAACTATCTCAGCATCCAGGCTAAAGTAATAGTCACAGTCAGGATCCTTTCTGCACAAGTCCCTATAGTCAGAGAACAAGAAAAGTCACATGAAAATCCTCCTAAAACAGAGCAAGACAAGGAGAACACCAGGAATTCCCTCACCTTGTAGTCTAAAGGTCTTCTGGGCGCTCAGAAAAGTTCAGTTCAATGTAACACCCCAGAGGACTAGCATAGTACAAGCACATCAGATTCAGTATCCAATAGCAGACACCGAGACACAGCCAAAATCACATTTAGCAAACTGTTTCCTCAGCTCAGACTGAAGAGGTTCCCATGTATAGTTGGTCCAAATCCAGACCTGAGCTCAAACTCACACCTGCTGATCACAGATGGGAAGATTGCCACTAGCTCTTAGTTCTACTATTACATTCATCCTCTTCAAAGATAAAGGGGCATATTCTTTGTGATCTATGACTGGGCATATAGACTGCCTGATGAGGGTGGGAGGTACAGGGCCACCCTTCTAGCAGAGCAAAGGACCAGTGAGAACTTCATTTCTAAAATTGGAGAAAGGGAGCTGGTATTGAAGCTGATTTTTTTCCAATATATAATGGGCATCAGGAGTTAACGGTAGGAAAATTGAAAGAGGGTGACTGAAGGGAAGCACCCACTTGACAGTGATGATCCTCAGAAAAAACAGACTGCCTTAGTGCAGACACAGGCTGACTCTGCAAGCCACCATGTACAGCTTCTCCACTTACATGCCCAAGTTACGTGCCTCAGCATTCTCCACCTCATCATCTGGTCCAATCACTTTGATGGCAAGATATTCTTTGCCATGCTCTTCAACAAAAGAGTCCACCTCCATCAAGTGATGTTGCTCCTATTCCAAAGGAAAAATAAGGAAAAACAGATGAGATAAGCTCATCCCAGGCTGCTCAGCCTCCTGGTCTCCAAAATGCCAAACCAGATGAGCAACAGCTCTTCCAACTTCCACATCTTTACAGCTGGATGGAGCTATCTTACAGGTACTACTACAGATCAGTAGCGGGACTACGGAGCCTGGAAGTCTAGTTAAAGGTTGCAAGGGTGCCTAGAGTACAGTAGGAGGTATACATTTTCCCCACATTTGCCAAGACCATCACAGGCCAACTTTACTTACATGGTTGTGAATGAAGAGCTGGATTCGTTGTTTTGGGTAATGAAGGTTACGAAGCCGCAAGAAAAACTGCGAGAGGAATGGGGTGGGCTGCTCGATGAAAATGCCAATCAGAATCATTGGCAATGCCTCATCCTGCATCCAGTGAGAAGAAGAGAGAAGCAGCGGCTCATGTACCACATCATACACATAAGATCCCATTGTAATTGCAAGACTTAAGAGCTTTGAATGGACATCAGCCCTACCTTAAACCCCGTGAGGCTTCGCAGACCTTCATCGCACACAGTGCAGCCAGTCTCAAATGTCCATATTTGAGGAATGTAGTTTCCCAGGTAGTTCAGCTGCAGCTGCAAAAGGCAATTTGCCATGTTATGCACTACAGGGTAGGGGAGTTTCTTAGCATCCACCCCCAGTGTAAGATCATATTTCATCAGAGCTTCATTTACCTTCTTGGACTAAAGAATCTGAAAAGCATGACAGGCCGAGGGTTGAATTACACACTGATCTTTGAACCAGACCCATCTTGCTGCTATGGACCTGGACCACTTATTGTTTCTCAAATATAAATGCACACAGGGGAAGTCAATATATGGGAAGACAGTAACCTGATACACTTGGGCCTAAAGAGTCACTTTTGCAACAAATATGTACCAAATCTTTCTCTTAGGATGCCCACTTACCTTGGTGGGTCCATTTCCGTGAATCACCACAGGCAGAGTGTCATATAACAAGTTTCTTGCTCTCACTCGCGAGTTTTCAAACTTCATAACTACCTCATCTGGAAATGACATCGCCATCATGTCATCAGAGGAAGGCTTTTATTGGTAATTAGCAGCACAATGCCACATTTCTACTGAACAACTGCTGAAAGATGAAAGATGGATGTGGATAACCACACACAAGTAGTTTAAGGGCTACAGACCACATCCAGAAAGGAGAAAAAATATTCAGAGTGATCCTGTGAGGTAACAGGAGGATAGCTGGGAAGCTGGACAAAGAATGGACTGACAAATACACCTTCTACTGGGAATTGCCAGAAGCCACACTGAAACAGTCTTTGAAAACTGGCATTGACAAATTGTGCAGTGAGGAACAGCTACTGATGGCCAGGGAGGACTCAGGCCCTTTTCACCCAACCATTCTATGCACCTGCTGTCTCTCTTTTTCACCCCTGAAAAAAGTCCACCCTCCTGACAGAGATCATCCAAGATGTCTCCTCAACACAACTGCACAAAATCCGTTGGAAAACAAACTAGTACAGATCCAAGCTCCAGTCTATCATTGTTATAATGAGCACAGGAGTCAGAAACTACATTGCCGTTATAATTTTTTACCTAACTGGAATAAAGATGGAGTGGTGCAAGACTATAAACTCAAAACATCAGGCAGTAGCGTCAGGAGAGTAAGTGAAGCACTTTTGCCAGGACTAGCAAAATCACTCAATCAGCAGGTCAGGTCAGAAGCCTGGTACGGTCAGTGAGTGCTCACAGGCAGCATCTGGCTGAACCTCACCTTCTATAGCATTCCAGACACAGTTCTGAAGCGGAAAGACAGGCAAGCCCTAGGCAGGGTTGTGTGTTATTACTTGCACTGGAAGTCCCTCCCAGTTTCAATCCCCAAGGCTAATACAATTCGACATGCTTGGAGATCAAAGTGGCAAGGAAGTGTAAGATGGAAAACCTGACCTGCATTCCCCAAAATGCAGAGGGAATTGCAATGAGAACTTAGTTGGTCACAGTGGGATTGCAAAATAAATCCCAGGACTGTGGCAGATGCTTTTCACTGACACTTATTCTGCAGGGACAGGTGAAATTTAATCCCTTCAGCCTCAACTTTATTTCTGGTGTCAACGTGCAGTTGCATTCCAAGGAGAAATGAGCTTCCTTCTTCCATCTCACCTAATGCTCCATTTAGGTTTTGGAAGATCCGGCTTCTTTGGTCTAGACTGATGTTGATACTTTCCTTAAAAGAATGAGATAAATAACCTTAATTAGAACACAAGTGGGCATCCATTCTTTACATGTGAGAGACCCTATGCTGGGCAAAGATCTACCACATTCCTATAATCATTTCCATACTCTCCAAGCTCTGAAGCCTAAAACAATCCCAGCTAATCTTCATTTTCACTTGAATCCGGGACAATTCACCATTTTCTAAAACAATTTTAACATGGTATATTAGGCAAAACCATGCAAATAAAACATTTTAAAGCTGCTGTGGGTGTGCTGACAATAATACTCAGTGTATTAATGAAGCACACTTGAGGCACAGTCATATAAAACCCACGTAT